GACCATCATCGACACAGATGGCATATGTTACACCAGACTAATCACTGCTTCCGCCAATATGTGGTGGTAACTGAGGTTGGATAATGCTGCAAAAGTAAATGATAGAACCTGATCATAAAGTTTTGTCTGATGATTAAAGCCGCGAAAAGAAATGTGATGTTCCAGGTCTGCACAGCAACATGAATAAGCAGTTGCATACTTCATACTGTATATCTCAGAATCAACCTTAGCAATGCAGGTATGTTCAAACAGTCTTCATGCTAATTGTATTATTATTTATCGGTATTTTTTGAAGCTTTTTTTTCTCTCTCCTATTCGGTTTTCCGAACATGTGATCAGGTCTCTTTTTCTTCTTTTTCTATTTTCTATTTCGTTGCATTGTATCTTGATGAACTTATGTGACCTGAATTCGAACCAACTTTAACCATTAAACGATGATGCTTGGACTTATGTTGATATTACTTGGCCAACCGATGATACTGTATTGTAGCTATTCGACACCACGAATCTATTACAGTCGAAGGCTGAGAAACACTTTTGCACTGACTGAATAGTTTTTCATTTTCCACATGGTCTTAGGGTTCTATTCGAACCTAGGGCATTGAATCTATTGTGTACTGTGGTTTCTAGGATTTCTAGTTAGGCTTATTGTACGATAAGACCATCTTTATAATTATTTTGGAGGATACTATGTTGACCTTTTTGAATATCTTGAAACTTAATTGATACTTAGTGCTAAACTGAAGACTTAGTTTTCACTCCTTTTCCTAGTACTACTTCATCGGTTAGTTGACTTATTAGACAGACCAGATAAGTTTGTCCATTGATTTGTACTAATACTCGTACGACACTTTCATATCTTTGATCAAGTTTTATGCTAAGTAAACTTTCAATTATTAGTAGATGAGTATCGCTAAGCATTTAATATACTAATGTTAAAAGAAAGGATGGTCTAACTCTAGTAACTAGTAAACTAACTCAGAGATAACAAACATTGGCTTTTAATTTGTCATTACCATCCTTTTGACTAGATAGGAAGGTCATTCGTTGTATAGTCGAGCATGATATTTCGAAAATATTTATATGTCCGGAAATAATCATCTACGCGATGTCCTGTGGCCTCGTTCACCTTAGCTTTTGTTGATTATAATTTAGTACTTTCTTTGACCTCCTCCAGCTCCACAATCTTCTTTATCTATCCAAGCTCACAAAAGTTGTTTATCTCTGGTCTCCAAAATAAGTGTTTAAATTTAATATCCGCACTCTGTATAAATTTGCAAAACAAACCGTACTAACCAAAACTGTCGAAACTCGAAATGAAGATGTACACCGTTTCTGGGAAATTTACTCGGAACCTAAGAATCGTTTTACCATTTCGTTATCCTAGCCTATGCTCTCGTTCTCCTGATTTCACTGAACGGTCACTAATAATTTTTTAATTTAATGACAAAGTAGGGAACAGAAACAGTTGTGATAAATACCTTTCTATCTAGGTTTTCTACTTAAGCACTTAGTAACAACATTTTAATTGAATAGGAGAATGACTGCTATGGAGATTCAACTGATCTTGCTTTGAGAGACACACCAGTCCTATTGAGTTGTTGACAGACCAAACTTGGTACGAATACGAATAGCTCGTTTAGCTTTTGCCGCTGTGATTAATTTATGGTGTCCGGGAGGTGTTCAAACACAAAAGGCAGGGTGCAGTGAATATTATTTTATATTCTGCTAAGCCACTATAAATAATGATCATTGACAGGAGAATCTGTTGACGTTTTAGATACTTGATCAAAGTCACTGTAACATCGCTCAATGGTTACCTATTCACCGAGTAGTCCTTACAAGTTAAAACACTAATTTATTTAGCTATAAACTGTTGTATTAAAGCCTCCGAATCTGCTTGAGCTTTCCTGTTGGGTATGAAAGCCATTCAAAGTTGACAGTAGAAAATCTTATGAGCTATGGAAGAGAGTCCATTTCGGTAATGTGAATGCTCTTACTTATTGTAATTAGTTAAAATTTCAAAAATTCCAATTCGGCATATTATAATTACTTTTATCTTCTCGTTGTATCTGATGTCTGTTTTGACAGCATATATTCTCTCATTCTTTCCGCTCCTCCGCTTTTTTCATCCACCTCCGTATGATGTTGGGAATTCTGCAAATATGGGTTGATACTTGTGTTTGTCCAATAATCAGAATAAAAGGTAAATGACTAAATTACGATCTTTCAGTAAGAATACTTGCTTAACGTTATCATTTCGACCCATGGACATTCGTTACAAAAAACATACACTCCGAAAAACACCTGGATTTCGTTTTATAATACCCCAGATGAGGTATACATAGAAGTTTTAATGAAATTGGTTTTAATTTCTTCGTTTTAAATAAGGGTACGAATAGGATGAGACGAAATAATATTCGTTATAGCAGCTGGTTTTGGTACTTTATGCTCTTTTAAGGTAATTCGTTTCATGGAATACTTACCTTTGAGCATCTTGACATTTTGTCATCCGATTTATATTTATAAACAAAAGAATTGTAGTTATTTGGTCTTTCTTATTTGCAAGTAGTAAACGTTAGACTCATTACGCTAGAAGCACAGATTCTGGAGCAAACTGACGTCACAATGTTTAGATTTCTGTGTACACAAACAAAAGTTAGCGAAGTTAGATACTTTGAGACTAATCAAAATCCTATGAAGTCTAAAAATACCTTTTCGCGCTGCAACATTTGTAATTGACTGATTGCAAAGTTTGTAATCAGAAAAATTTATATAAGTTAAGAAAAATTCTTTTTTAATATATGGGTAGTTGAACGTGTTACCCATTATTTTTTATTTTTTTAATGATAGAATCTGGGGTAGTTCTTCCCATTTATTTAAATCTGCATGATTTAGTTGTTGTCATTCAAGTAAGTTTTGTTATTTCTACAGAGATTAGCATCCTCACAAAATTTACAACTTGGATAATGAGGAGTAGTGGTAGGATTTCTACATAGAGAACAAGCTCTTATAAATTTCTCAAGGACTGTCTTGTAATAAATGAGCAACGGAAAAGGCAGTAAGTTTTTCATACTTTTTTGCATGAACTGTTACGAAAATCTTGTCAAAGGTAAACCAACGAAATTAATTCCTTGCAGAAATTCTAAGGTCTAGTTGCACTCTGTTGTTTGAAGTTGTCTAAGCATTGTAGATTACATAATCTATGGAACAAGTAACTTGTGTGTAATTAGATTTCATCATTAGTTTTCGTCCATATTGCTTTCACATTCTCCTATATCTTGTTTTTGTATTTTAAAATAGTACTAATTTGTTATAGGATGAAAAACTGATGCCTTGTTTAGTCTTACCTATAGCTTGGCTATTGTTCAAATTCCGCCGTAGTAAATTCTCATAATCTTTCTCTATCGAGAAAACCTTAGTATTGTTTCTTGGATATTAATTCACTTAGTTTGTATATCTCCGATTAGGTTGTCAGTGTCGGCTTTTCCTAAGCCTGTCGTTTTCTATCAAGTCGATTGAAGAATGCAAATGTTTGTGCAATTTGATAGGAAAATTGTAATAGGATCTAAAATGAATCTATGCTATTCTGCTGGAAATGTTGCTCTCCTTCTATTTAGATGTTTTTATGTTCGCTGCTTTATACTATGGCACTATGTAGTCAAGGTAGTTATAGGAAAAACTTGAAATATGATAAAACTGAGTTCAACTACGCGTAAAGTGAATGTTTAAATCGTTATTCTGTATTTGAATCATTCCGTTTATAATCAAAAAGTATTTAATCTAAAAGTGAGGCCTATTCTTGATCACCCTGTCAACATTAAAGTAGCCCATAACTATCTATGCATTTGTTTTGGGTCTCTTTAGTCTTTGTATGCTTTCAAAATGTTAATAGTGCAGAAACTGAGGCAAATTTATCAAAATCAGCATGATTTAAAACGATCCGATCAAACATATGTCATATACCACCAATAATACTCTATCATAATCGTGTTTCTCAGCTAGGTCTTATTTAATAAGAGCTTTTATAACGTTTCTATTTCGGAGACTTTCAACTCAGATTTTATTCATAGGTTATAAGTTGTACTGAAGTAAGATGAAAATTTACTTATTAGGCTATTACTTTGTAGGCGTTCGTTGATTTGAAATTAATTTTCACACTAGACTGTTATCAGCTGAACAACCATCAGAAACCTTTGAGTACTTGATAACTGTTTCTTTTCATGTTGAGACAACCTAGCAGTGCCCATCTGTGTGGTCACGAAGGACCAAGCCTAGAACCCTCATGGTTAATTGGGAGCGCATTGCCATTCATCCACTGGGCTAGACGTTATTGGCCCACTAATCCCTATAATTTTTCTTTACGAAGTTTTGACTGAAAATCTTATGATCCTTCACGTAAGAGGTAAAACAGATAATCCCTTGACAACAGGTCATCATATTTCTACAGTTTAGTAGTGGAGAAGTAGATTTATTAGTTAGTATTCCACCTATACCATTTTAGACAGGCTTTGTACAAGATAACATCAATTTCTCACAGTCATAAGGAAATTTTCAGAGAGTTAAGAACACTACTCAACTTTTCTAAATTTTACTGAGACATTTTAATCAGGAATACAACTAAGGGACAGTTATGCTTCAGTCGGTATAGGCGTTTTACTAGAACACTTGGTTGTAAAGCTTAACACTATACTTCATTACATTGTAATATTCATGTTTATCTTGTACAAAAGACTGACATATTACAAAATCTTGCTTCAAATGGATCCTATTCCAACACGTGTTTGTGATAGATAAGTCTTAGATTCAGTAAGTTGAATGTAGTTAATCAATTGTTCAATATGCAGCTCACCACGTTTTTGCAGTATGACAGTGAATTATGAGGGTAGTTTCAGTTACACGGACAAAATCAAAATTGATCGTTGATAAGTAAATGATTTATGAAATAGTAATAGTTATTTTCAGTAAAATTAATTCATATACTTCTAATTTCAATTTAGGTATCTGAGCATGAAAAACAAAATCGTATGTCCATAGCAAGTTTAGCTAGTATGTTCGCACCAAATTTTCTGCGTCAACAAGAAGAAGATCTGAACATTGAAATGTCTGCATCACAACTTATTAATCATACAATAAGTGAGTTTATAAGAGTTCATCAACTCTTATTTCCGTATCCATTAAAATCTCCAGGATTAAGGAAATCATATATAAGTCAAGCCAAATCATCATACAATCATAGAAGTTTAAACACAATGCCATCTTGTGTTAAAAGGGCATTTATTCAAACCAATCCTTTACTATTGGCGCGCAAATCTTCATTCAATAATGATATGATGTTATCGATTCCGAATCAAACCATAGAACCGGTTATTTATGATAGACCAATGCTTCTTCCCATTCAGTCATCAACAAATGCTAACGGTAGTCATGGGAATAATAATAATAATGGTAATGATATTGATGATAATGACAATAATGAACCAAATCATCAAAAAGGTCATTTCATTCCTCCCTTCATTATCACTACTATTAATCATATGAATCATTTTGATCATAATTCTATTTTATTAAACCATGTTGTAAGCTCACATGATCACACTAGTACAATATCTACTAATACTGCTGCTACTGCTGATAAAAATGAAAATAATCTTGTCATAAGATCACGTGAGTTTTGTTTTCTGTTCTGGTATTGATTTTGTCATAACGTTAGTGAAATAAGGTCGATCTTGCTATATATTCATGTCTTTTATTGAACACAGTAACATGATGAAGGCGAGTGTTTATCGGGGATGTTGACTATTACAGAGAGTTACCCTTTTGCATCATTAAGTTAGTCATTGTTTCATGCTTGTATGAATGTATGCAGGTATGATAATGATAAACGATGACCTTCTGTTCTTACTGGTTCTCGACAGCCTAAATGAATTTGCTTTTGTGCAAAAAACGGGGATGATGATTGTGATGATTATAGGTCATATTAGGTAACCAACTGATTTATGGTGCCATTATACTGTGTACCATTTTAGTTAAATGCATTTCTTGTCAATCGATATATAGTCATTTTCAGATTACGTGGGTGTCAATCACTTACTTTAATGTTATTACTCTTTGTCTCCTACTTCCGTATGCGAACAATATCCGAATACAACAGTGTGTATATATCTTGTGTGAAGGGTCTAAAGATACTGGTCTATGTTTTGAAGGTCAGAGAAAACATTTCAGTTCACAGCACAAGTTAAAATGAGATTCAATAGAATATATTATATAATAAGAGGCAAGCAATGTTTTTGAATGAATGTGGTAAGATTAGATACACTTCAAAGCAGTTGCCTAATCATGTCAAAAAAATATCTTAAGAGAGTGATAAATGAACAAAATTAACTGAATATTTAGAATTATAAAGGCAATAACACTTAAGAAAACTCAGACTTTTCTACTAAGAAGGAAGAATGTTGATTAGATTTCTAAAAACAAATTTAGATTCAAAAAATCATGCTAAGTCAAGCAACAAAAGGGAATGAAATGAAAATGCTACGTGACTAGCCTTTGTCATCATCACCGTAAGAGATTTACAAAATCGGGAAAAACTGATAATATTTTTCTTCATTAGCATATAAGTTAGATTTCATAGTATACTAACTATTGCTTTGGCGAGTTTTCATAATTAACAATATGGAGGCATCCGCATAGGAGCCCACATGCCAATAGACGTCGAACAATTCGATCCAACAGAACAACGGAGAATAACAAGTATGTCAATAAATAGCAATAACTGTTACCCATTTTACAAGAGTGGCTATCTTTCCTCTGTGGCAAAGTGGATAACGCATTGGCGTTTGAAGCTATGCGTACGAGATTCGAGTCCCAGTGGGAACAACATCACGGGGGTTCAGGCACATCCAGCTGTTAACTATTTGAGATGGCCGTGGCTTGGCAGATTTATGTTATTGATGCTGGGTGGTGGCTGATGGTGAAATGAAATCTGGTCTCAATCCTGCCACCATCCAGATTTTATGTCGCCTTCAGTCATCAAAAAGTAGAAATCAGTGTTTGTCGATCAAGTAAGGGCTACTGAATGGCAGAATCGGTTGACATCGGATAGAAGGTTAACATGTAAAGCGTACGGTAGGAAGTTAACAAGGAACGTGCTGATCCTATTGTGAGTCAGCGTAAAGAAAGTAGATATACATCTTTCTTTTGAACACAGATCAAGTTTTCTTGTCTTAGGTCAAGAAGGATATAATGATCTGTTATAGAAGGAACCTGGTCTCACGTGATTTAATGTTCACTGTTTACCAAATGAGAAGGAACTTCACTGTCTTTAACATTTTGTTATTCATTTCCAAAACCAAGCTGGCGCATGTTTTATTTCGATGTGAATTACCTAAGATGAGTTTTTTGTTGCGAATAGAAGTCTGTAGGTTCGTTTTTTCTGTACACCACAGAAATGGCAAAAACCTTTGTCTTTATGCAGATCATTATCGAAAGTGTGAGAGAGAGAGAATCTACTATAAATATAATCGTGTCCAATATTCACACTAAAGGAACCTGCATTGTACATTTCTCAACCGTGATAAATACATTTTAGTTTAATAAAAACATAGAAACTTGTCGTGAACTTGTAAACTTATGGGTATACATTTTTTAAATAGATTTTACGTATTTATTTTCCACATGTTTGCAAAACATTGTTACAGATACTACATATGGAAGTAGAACAAACATGCATGGTAAGGTATATCTTCTTTTAGATAAAAAACCGGCTGATTTTTTCGATTTTAAACTATACTGATACTGTATTTAAGTTGTAGTAGTGAAGTATAAATTTTTATAATGGTAGTTTAATTCTTGTCATCTGACGTGAAACTATCATCAAAATTAAATCTATACACAAGTGTTATAGTGTGATCAATTTCTCACCTAAAAACAAATCTTGTTACGTTTTGATATTCATTCATAATGATGCTTTTTAGTATTTTACTTATTATTTTGATTGAAATGGATTTTTATAAAATTGACTACAGTCTGAATACTACACTTTAAGCTCAGTAATCACAGTTTACCTCATTAGCATTGTTTTGACTGATTAGTGATATCATCTGAAATGTCAATTATGCTAACTGCTATTTCTATTTATTCTCAAGCAAACTAATTAAACTTAATCTAAGTTTCAGTAATGCGAAAATTCCCATTTAACTCACATTGTTTGCTTTATTAATCTAAGTTTTATAGACGTATGAAAAAAATCAAATAAAACATCAACAAGTGTTAGCACCTCAAATACATTTTAACTGTGGAATCTTTACATCAGATTGCAATTAGTAAATACCAGTTATTGTTGGTTTTTCAAGATTGTGATGTGATCTGGGTGTAATATCTGCGTCCATAAGAAGGGGTTCCTTACTTAAATACTACAGTGGTAAAGACTGAAAGTTCAGCACTGAGTAGAAAAACCTCAAAGTTTTTGGGAAACATAGGTTTTCTTGCCGTTGAGTATAATACAGCATAAAACCTAATTCTGAGACTCAATCTCATTTTAAAATTTGGTAACAATAAAATTTGCAGGATTATAAATTCGTTCCATGCATGAAAAATACTCGCCAGTAAAAGACTGGGGAATCATATGCTTAATATTAAAATTGCTTTACTAAACACTGAATATTTTCGAAAATTGTTTCGAATGTCATTTAGTCTAATAAATTTATTGTTGATGAACTATCTTGAAAAGGTCTACTTGAATTCTTGTACTTAGAATCCATTGAAAAAGATATTTATTCAGTTTATTTACATTGTTTTCAAGGAATGACTCGCCTCCTGGGTAAAAAGATGTTTATGTTCTAATCAACTTATATACGAATAACGCTGCTACTGTTAAAGATTATCAGGACCTGTTTTATTGACCGAAAAATAAATTTATGTGTCCGATTTATTGTAGACTAGAATTATTTTGCAAAAGAAATTAAACCACAGGAGAACAAATAATTCAATCATAAGTCTCGTATTACTGTTTGCCTACAAAAATTTTATTCCTATCTCATGTATAACTGCTACTTTACGTTTCACAGTAAAACAATGTCAGCCTGTCAACTGATGACTGGGAATTGCAAAATAGAAGCGAAACTGACTCTTTTTCTGTAAAAAGTTGCTTACAAAATAGGATGAAACAAGCCTCCTGGATTTCCCCGCTGGCTACCAAACAGACTGCAGTTAATGTAACCTTGCTATATTTTTTTGGTGGTGGTTAGCAGTGGAATCCAGGTCATGCATTTCATTCTATCTAGGACTCGTCAGCTTGGCGTTTTGCACCCCAGTGTGCTGATGTTCCCATTAGGACTCAACCTCCACACTCAGCTCTCCAAACGCCAAAGAGTTATCCACCAGGCCACTGAAGCACCAGAGTCACGTGCTGAGCAACGGGAATTAATTATCATTATCTGTCGATACTTTAATTCTCCGTTGTTATACTGGATCAAAATGATTGAACTGGATTCCACTGCTAGCCACCTCCAAGTAAATTATAACCAAAAATAATCAGGCCGTGTAGGGGCCTATATGTCAACAGATGTCAGCCCATTCAATGCAGTATAACAATGAGGAATTACAAGTATCCTCAAATAATAATGATAAAAGTAGACTTCTTTTGGCATGCAACTGTAATCATTCACGTATCCAGTTCTCTTATTTCCTCCAGCTTTGAAGTGAAAGGAGTTGAGTGGTGAATAGTCAGTTTTGAAGAGATATCCGTATATTTAATTCGGAGTTTCGTGAGGATTTATCCACTGCTTTTAGGTTACTACTCATCATGAACTAACATCAGTAGAGAAACATTGGGAACCTGAATGCACCCAACCCCTGTTTCGTCCTAGTATGGGACTCCTATATCCAATACTAGGACAAAACAGGGGTTCAGTGCAACTAAGTTTCCAGTGTTTCTTCACCTGACATCAGTCCATGATGAGTAGAAACATTATTATTATTATTATTTGTTCCTTGGGTTCCTAACGGAATACAGGGCTTCAGTAGCACGTCTCCAGTGAACTCTCTTCTATCAAATCTGTTGAACCTGGCTCCACGACAGCACACAAGCTCTCATTTCCTCCTCACACCATCTCCTCCATGTCACCAACACCTAGGACGCTCAACTCATCGCTTCCCATCTGACTTCCACTCGACGGCCTGGCCTGACGCGTCATATCCCCAGTCGGCCTTCTCAGTGCATACACAGTCCCAAATCCATCTCCACTTCCCTCTGCACATTTGTTGGGTGATGGGTTCTTGGTTGGTTCGTTGCCAGCCAGAGCTCCTTGTTGCTTATTCTTATTATTCTGGCCATCTGATCTTCAGTAACGAGCCAGCGTAAGCAGTTGTTGATGAATGTCTGTAGTTTATTGGAAATCCCTTTCGTAACGTGTCAAGTCCCTGAGCCATCACATAGAAGCACTGACTTGACGTTGGTGTTGAAAATCCGGATCTTGTTCACGTTTTATGTTGAGTGCAGAAGATCTCCACACTGGTTTCAGGCAAATAAACGCCTGCCTTGCTTTCCCGATTCTGGCTTTATCATCCTCGTCTGTGCCTGTGCCACCTGTAGTTGAAACAGTGCTGCCTAGATAGGTGAAGGAGGTTACTTCCTCTAGGTTTCTCCTGTTCATCGTGATTGGAGTTTGTTGTTGTTGTTTTTGGTTGAGTATCT